CTTCAACTTGCAGATAGCACGTGTACCAGCGATAAGGCACATGAGACTATGGCGATTGTGTGTGAAGGCACGTTCAACATCGTACGGTGATAGGGAACCTCCTATTTCACATTTTCGAACCTCCTGAACACAATGGTGATGTTAGTTTCTGAAAAAAAAGGCTTAGATTGTAAAATGCGAATACATCAAGGACTCCTCCTCTGAATCTCTCTCTTCTCCGATGTAATCCCTTAACTGTTCCTCACTCTCTCACTTTCTAGACCAACTCTGATACCAAAATGGCTCAAAAACCTAATAGGAAAAAAACTCTCGTTTGTTGCTTTCAATTTGAGATGCTTTATAAAGGCAACAAGGGTCCTATTTATAGTATTGTGAATCTTAAACTGAAGCAGCAAAATAAAGGGGTGGTTACAAAATTTTTATTGTGCTCTATTTAATCTCATTGCTTGCCTTCTATTGCTTGTTCTTTTATTTTCCATTCATCCGTTTTAGTAATGGCAGCAATCTGAGCTAACTAAAAAAGAAATGAAAAAATAGCAAAGTAAAGATGAACTGATGGTGCCAATTGAAGTTTAATGCATGGTTCAGCATTAAAAAACAATAACAATGCACATGAATGACTAACCTGGATGATACCGGGCTTTGATTCCTCGAGAAGCTTATGATGAAATCACAAAACCATATGGCACCTTTAAAACCAAGGATGAAAAATAGTGATGTTCAGAGGGAATCGAGTGGATGAAAGTCATAGTGTTTAATCGTCAAGGTCCATCGCAATGATAAGAGAAAAGAAAAATAGGAAATACAAATAGATGGAACATGAAAATTTTATTAGATTTCCCTCTACTAGTTACTGAAAAATTTCAGTGGTCTCTACTACTAAATGTGTAGAGCACTAGCGGCGTTGTATCAAATTTGCTGAAGTGGTTGAAAAGGATGACTTAAGGTTAGTGTTTTTGAATTGGGCAAGTTGGTTTTGGAGGTTGAGTTGTTGAAAAGATACATGTAGAAATTGTGTATGATATGTAGAGTTGAAGCCTTGAGTGTTTGGCAACTTTTTCTTTTATAGGTATAAAGTGATAATTTTTTATAATTTTATACTCAATTTTTTTAAAGCTGCTAGTTACAATTTTTTTTATAACTTCATCTGTCTTTTTAAAGTGGTGCCTCGGTTCATTTTTATAATAAACAATCACTTTTCTTTAAAAGAGTCATGTAAGCTTGGGCTAAAATTATTATTTTTTGTCCAAATAGTTGAACTTGGGGCAAAAATTAGATTTTTAGCCTAAATAAAAAGAAAAGAAAGTATCCATCCACTAAAAATATAAAGTATTTTTAATTAAATCTCACATTTTAATAAAAATAGTTAGTTATCCTCAGATTAATATTATCTTTTTATATTTACTCTAATTTAATAGAGTGTTTCACTTTAAAATAAATATAAAGTAATTATTTATTATGGATATTTTAAAAAATATTAATTATATTTTAAAATATTAAAACGTATTTATATTTTTAAATATCCCATCTCTATGAAAAATATCGTATCTTTTTAAGAGATGCTCCTATTCCTATGATATGCTATGCCGTGCAAAAAATAATAGGAACCACTTTCTTTCTTGCTTTTTAACTCGTTTTATAAAAATGATTTCAAAATATACTTAATTAGTCTCATGACATGTGGATAAAATAGAGTAACGCGGACACAGTGGAGAGAGTAGTTTGTTTACGAACAAAACAGGGGCTCGTTTTTTATACTCTTCAAAATTAATTATGGTGACCAAAACCATGATTCTGAAAATTTTTATCTAAACACTCTTAATTTTTTCAAACTCTATTTCCCTACCAAAACTCCATTTCACATGAGCTTTACTTCCTTCATTATGGAATCGATTTTGGCGGTTTGAGCATTTTTGCCATCTGTTTTTTCTATTTATCCCTATTGAACTAAAAAAGCTTCCTCCAGTCTACGATCTCTCTTTCCTCTCGTTTGACTATTCCAGCTTCCTCCGTTTGCGGCAGCGGCAGTCCGATGAGCTCTGTCAAAATCCTCCAGCTTCTTCCAACTTTGGACAGTAGAGACCAAAGGAAATAATGGAAAGAAGAGAAGAATATCCAGGTATCGTTTGGTTACTTGAAAAAAAAAAGTAATAAAATGAATTTTAAAATAAAAATAAAAATAAAATGATTAAAAAAGATATGTAATCACATTCAAAAGGGACATAAACAATTTAATTTATAAAGTTAAAAAATTATAATTTATGAAATTTTTTTTTATGATGTGATGATTCTTAAATTTATAATATATATTAATAAATTTTATCATATTTATTATAAAAGAAAAGAATAATTTAATTTATTTTTATTTTAATTTTTGCAATTCCTTCTATTAAATAACTTTTTAGTAACTAATGCAAACCCAGTTTGTCGAAAAGTGGGGATGGGGGTAGATTGAGAAGAGACCCTGTTTGTTGAAGCAAATTCATCCGTATATGAAATGACCGCTTTTAATTAAAAAAAATATTTTTATGAAATCAACATATTAATGTAATAGCCGTAACTAATTCAAAAGAAAAAAAAGAAGAAGTCAATAGAGATGATTCATCCCTGACATATACAACCCATGTGGCTCATCTTTGTAATGCCATCAAAGAATTATATTTATCTCTTTTATTAAATTTATTTAAAGTTAGATACATTGATTTATTTTTTATATATATTTTTATCAATATTATGTTATAAAAATAAATGTTTTTTATTATAATTTTCACATTTAAAATGAATTATAAAAAAATATTCAAATATCTTAAATATTTTATAATCAATTTTTTTTTAATTGAAATCAAAACACAGCCTAAAGGACTAAAAGGTTAGGGAAATGCCCTTGGTGACAGATTGGATTTTCCTCTTGTCCCACTTGATGTGGTCTGGACGAATGGTATGGATATTTTTGTGCTTTTCAGGTACATCGTGAATGTGCATGAAAAAAAAAAAAAGAAAAGAAAGGAAAAACAGAAGTAAAAATATTTTTGTTATATGTAGTAGAAGATAAAATTGCTTTAATTTGTTAGAAAGAATACGGTTATCATATTTGTGGGCAAGAGTTTTCTCATTTCCATTTTCTCTTATTAATTCCCATTTTATGCCAAACATAGCCCTCAACGAAGCATTATATGGAATTATGGATTTATCCCAATGCAAGAATGTGTTCCAAAGACACAGTTAATTCATGGGATACTGAAAAATAAATTCTTTTAAAATAAGAAAATAAGAATTTGATCTCATAAAATGTGACAATGCCTTTTAAATTTCAAGAAATTTAATTATCATTAAATTTTTTAACAAAATGATTAGTGAGACAAAATTGGTGAATGTTTAAACTACTTAAGTCATTTATTGAACTAAATTTATAAAGTCCAAAATTAAAGTTACAAACTAAAAAACTTGATTGCACTTTGCTGATTGAAGAAAAATAATAAAAAAAAATTTATAAATACTTATATCACTTTAGTTATTTACTTCATAAGAGTTGTAAATTTCAAAACTAAAGCTGTAAACAGAAAATAAAACTTTATTGTACTTTGTTGATTGAACAAAAATGATAAGAAAAAATTATAAGTGCATAAATCACTATATTCATTTATTGAATTAGAGTTATGAATTTCAAAACTAAAATTCAAAACAAAAAAACTCTGTTGCACTTTTTGAAATTAATGGTTATTTTTGTCATTTTATCAAAAATTTTAATTACAATCTCGTCTTTTAAGACTTAGAAGATATTATCAAATTTACAAGATAAATTAGTATTTATCTATTTTAAAAAGATTTATTTTTTATTCTCCCTTAATTTATCACACCACCTCCACTTTGATTCATACCTTTCCCATACTCTTCCATTATTTTCTAATTACCAAACCTTCTTTAGTGAGATATATGCCAATAAAATCTATAAGAAACAACATCATTGCAATGTTTTTAACAGATCAATTTAATTGTCAAACTGTGTATACTGTATATATTATATAAAAGACGAATATATGCGCCTACGTTTAATACAAATTCAAATTACTCTCAATCTTTATAACTGTAAATAATTTTTTTGTTATGGACTACTGTGGTTCAAAAAAAAATTGATTACTTTTTTCTCCCAAATAAACTTCCATTAGCGTTTAATTAAACGAAAAATATAACCAGAAACGACCAAAATAAAAGTTTAAAATAAAAAATTAAAATATTTTATGCATGAGATGGGTTAAACTTAAATTAAATTGTAAAAATTAGAGCTATCAATTAGAATCGAGTTCTTTGAGTTAACTTTTTAAATCCAAAAATATTTAAGATTAAGCTATTATTTTAAAATATAAAATGATAATTTAGTTTTAAAAGAGTTAATCTTTTTAAATTTTAAAAATAAAAAGGTCGGATTTTAAGACCAAGTGTAGTACTTTTAAACCTTTTATATTTTTTAAAATTTTAATATAAAAATTAACTGCATACATTTGTATATTAAAAGAAAACACCAGCTTTATTCAATCATTCTCATTTCTTCTCTCTCCTCCATCAATTGACCAACTGACGAACAATATAGCCGGCCACCCTCCTTTCCTCCCTCATCCATCAAAACTTAATTGATGATATTAATAAAATCTAATTGTTATCAAAATTAATTTTATAACATTATTATTTTTTATTATACTTAAGTTTGTTGGCAGTGGGTTGATTTAAATTTATTTTTCTAAACTTAATGTTATGTGAAATAATTTTTTAAAAATTTTAAACATATTTTTTTAATTTTTAATTTTTAAATTAAAAAATGAGAGAAAAAGGGCCATGGCATGCAGGGCATTCAATTCCAAGGGTTGAGGCCGAGTTATACAAAATGAAATCCTCCAATGCAATCAAATTTAAAAGGATCAATTTATTTATGCTCTAGCTTTTTAAGAGCTGATTTTTTTAAAATCGGATCGATCCTGATCCCAATTAACAGCTCGAGGAGAGGTATGGCTGTTCAACCAGAAATGACCTGCCTCGTACTGGCGTACATGTGTGGGGTTGGGCACGATTCATATTTCGTAGCTTACTCCCGTGGAGGCGAGTGAAACGCGGCCTCATTTAAAGACCCTTGGAACATGTGGCGAACAAGCAGGTTTTCCAGTTGGTCCAAGTCTCCCCCCGCAAGCCACGTGGACAGTCGCAGGAATGAAACCGTATTATAAAATAATAACACGAAGCCAGATCAGAAGCAAAAGGAGCGAGAAGAGGAGGCGGAGGAAGAAGAAGAAGAAGATGGGAAATGCAAAGGTGTTGCTGGTAGTGCTGGTGATAGCAGTGAGCGCCAGAACGTGCAGGTCTCTGGGCGAAGAAGTGGCAAACTCAGTCCAACAGAAAGCAGAGGAGGTCCAACAGGCTGCCCCATCCGCCTTTGAAAATGCCAAGGACACCTCCGAGAGCTGGGCTAATTGGGCTTATGACAAGTTCTCCGAGTAATTCCTCATGTCTCAATTTCAAATCTTAATCATTTATCCTCTAACAACCTTGTTTATTGATTCGCATCGTCTTGTGTCAGAACTGTAGGATTGAAGAAGGATGAAGGAGATCAACAAGTGGCTGAAACCCAGAAAATCTCGACCGATGAAAGTACAGCAACCAAGGTTCAAGGTAATTAATTAAATGCGCCATGTACTAATCTGGGATACGCTCATCCATTGTAATTCCAGCAACATTTTAAAACGTCAGATAAGATACATATCATATGGCCGGAAAGGAAAATGAAGAGAACCAGAGTATAATGTATATGCATGAGTTTGTGTATTCTTATTAGCGAGTGATCGAGTCGATTGTCATCGTTGTTAAAATAACTACGTAGACTGTTATTCCTTCACAGGCGCAGCCACCGATGCGTACAATAAAGCTGGTGAGCAGATGCAAACAGCGAAGGACAAAGCTTCAGAAATGGTTCAAAATGCGAAAGAACAAGCAGCCAATGTTGTGGTCATGGCATCTGAAACGGCTTCCGGTGCAAAAGAGGGCGTCAAAGACAAAGTGTCACAGGCTACAGAAAACGTGGGCGAGGCTGCCAAGACCGCCAAGGACACCGTGATTGAAAAGGCCGAATCTGCGGACGTGAAAGGCAAAGTATCACAAGCAACACAAACCGTGGGCGAGGCTGCGAAGATCGCCACGGACTCCGTCACTGAAAAGGCTGAGTCTGTACAGCAAACGGTCTCGCAGTCCCCTGGCAATCTCTGAGCTGATCAAGAGAGGAGCTATGAAGGTGTAGCCATCTTGATGCTTTCTGCTTGCAATGGTATTTAGTTCCGTGTCGACCGTACGTCTAGTTTTCTTTGATTGAGATGTGGATGCAACACAGCACCTGCCAAATCCTCTTTCAAAGAATATGGGAGCACATTCTTCTTTGTTAGAAGGCCTTTCATTTCGCTTCCTAGCTATACTTTCAGATTTTGTACCTTATAGTTTGTGTATTGTCAAGTTTTTCATATCCTATTGTATCCATATTCGGCCTTGTTCAAAGTGGCCAGTAATTTTGCTGCTAGTGTTATGCTGAGAAAAGCATTATTATTTGAAAGTGGATTGTTTAATAATAAGTCGCTTCCCGGGTCAGTTACTGGTATGCCTTCTGTTCTTTGATTAGTTTTCTTCTTTTCATATTGTTTGCTGGTCCAATTATGTGGCCAATAGTTATTTTAGACAACAGCTTGGACTTGGATGATTGAATTACGCAGACCGGCCGAGAGAATATGCGGTGAAATAATATAACAGGAAAAATCATTCTGTATATGCATGCGCATCCATTTCTCTTGCTTGTGATGAGACTGGTGTGATCTCAAATGAAGATCATATATCCCTAATTTTAACAAAAGATTGAATAATTTCTTCCCTTGCCAGTTGCCACGCCGCAATACGAGAAACTTTTTTGAAATGTGATTTTTAAAGTATAGAACGTTGTATAATTCTTATTCCAGGATTTTATCTTTTTCCTTTGTAGTAGATGATGCAAAGATTGTATTTTACATTTGAATTTTAATATGTAGGTCAATAATATATCAAGCAATAACACCCAAAAAGTCCTTTTCTGGGAATGTTTAATTTCATATAACTCTTATGTATGGATTCAGTGTCCTAAAAGGTCTGTACATATATGGTTTTTGGGGCATCAATTGGAGAGGTTGCCAAAAAGTCTTTTCTGGGAATGTTTAATTTCATAGAACTCGTATGTATTGATTCAGTGTCCTAAGGGTCTGTACATACATGGCTTTCGTGGGGCATCAATTGGAGAGGTTGGACAGGCTTTATAAAGCCCTGCGGTGCCACACAAAAGTTACAATGCAGCTATTTCCTAGGGAATTGTGACTATCAAGATTATTTTGGGTCAATTTTTCACATGGATGATTTTGAAAGGATAACTGGTTCTTTACTTGTGATTAAAGTATCTTGAGGGAAATCACACTAGTTCCTTAGTTCAAAATAATTAGTAAAATTAAATGACGTAGTTTTTTATATTCATGTTTTAAACTTTTAACTGAGAACAAAATTTTAAATTCATTGGGCTGATATATAGGATAATACACTTTAGAAATTATTCAAGTAAAAAAAATTCAGTTCATCAGAAAGCAAAACTGAAGATATCTGACAAGTAAATGAGTAATAACTATAAAAAAAAAATCCTTAAAGAAATAAAAAGCCCCCCTATAATCCGTTTTGAAGTTGTTGAGTTAAATCATTGCCCTAAATTAGTATTTAGCAGCAAATCTTGCTAAAAAATTTTACATACCTTGACTGAACTAATATTGTCTTGTTATTCTTTGAGCCTGCCATTGCTACGCATTTCTAGCCCTCGCACTCTTTCTCTGAGCACCCAAATGTTCCTCTTAGGTATTATGGTTTCTTTTGGTGGGTTCGTCCCCAGTTCGTTCGAGTAAACAAGACAATACAAACTCACGCTAATCAGAAAGACAAGACGAGGTAAAAGCGGGCGACGATGTCCGCTAATTCATGTGTCGGTGCCCCATTATTAGAGGACCAGATCGCATGGTTGGGTGGGATCTATTTGCCCCATAAATCTTCAACCCTGATTAGCAAGAAAGTAAATGGGTTTACACCATTGGGTTCCCCGAACTTAGTTTTCCATGGTTAAAGGGTTTATAACACATAACAATATAAAGGTTCTCTGAGGAGATTATGCATGACATACTACTGTCACTGCTTAGTTTTTGCTTATAACAGCATTGATAGTATATAAGGTCCTAATTAAGTAGCGTTTTACCCAAAAGAAAAAAGAAAAAAAAAAACAAGAAGAAGCCAAATTAGAGTAGCCAGTATTGAAATTGTCGTTATATTTCTCTATTATTTTGTCAGAATCCTCAACCATCAGACAGGAAGGAGAAGGAAATGCATATTGCCATTACCGTTTACGTTTAGTCAAATACCACAATTTATTCCAAAGAACATAAGGATGGGAAAATGAGTCAAATCAATGTATTTATGCACATCTATAATCTAAGTCTTCACTCAGAAATTCTGATATATTATTATTATTTTTTCCAAAGAGAATTATTATTTTAGAGACTGATGGGGGTCTTGGCTTACACTTGCTGCTGCTTCCTTTGCTTATTGTTGTGCATCCAAACTTTGAAAACCTGCCTGTTGACTCCGACCTGAGAACAGAATTGCCGTACTTCTTGTTCATCATTTTTCTGGATCTTCCACCCAAGCTTCTCAGCATATTCCATCATCCTCTTCTTCTGTTCTTGAGTAAACTTGGTCCGAAACCTCTTCGTCTTCGAGAGTGATGCCTGCACTGGAGGCTGCCCACCGCTATTAGACTGGAACACCTGGAGATCTTCGCCGGAGGACTCCGCCGGGACTCCGCCGAAGGCCATCATCATTGGTGGGACCAATCTGTTATGTTGTTGATGAAGAGAAGGGACTAAAGGAGAAGCAGTTCTATGTCGTTGATCGTTGCTTTTGTTGGAATAATAGGTGTAATAATCAGAAATATGTTGCAGTTCCGCCTTACCTTGGGTTTCTTTCCGATGAAAATTCCGGTGGCATCCACAAGCAGCACATCTCAAAGATTCTGTGTTGTCTTTTTCTCCGTTTGGCATGAACTCTCCGCATCCATCCACAACATAACTCCCCATGCTCGCCGCGTGATTCTTCAAACATTCTCCGTACTTGACAATCGTTGAGCTTGGATATGAATCGCTTTGTAGGTGATTCGACGGAGGAGGAAAAAAAAGATGGTGGTGTTCTGTAGAATCCCTTGGGGGGTGATCATCATCGTCATAGTTCTGAGTGGTTGTCATCTCTACTTTCTTATCTTGGTGATTGAGTTCTTCCGTCTAATCTAATTATGCTGGATTTCTGGGCTCTAAACCTTGATCATCTTCTTCATGATCTTGCTCTAATTAAAGGTGTTGTGGTTGTGGATTCTCCAGTGTGAGCAGCTGATCATCAGCCCTAATGCATCCCATCTTCTCGAAGAAAAATCTTTAATTAATCAAAGATATAATTACTAGCTAGCAGACACAGTGCACACCTACTATTCTTTTCTTTTCTTATTCTGATATTGACTTTCTGGGTGCTAAACGCACCAACCGATTTTACTAATCCACCCTATTCCCAGAGACATAAGCGAGTGATGATACTGTTTTATGTATCGAAGGGGGAAACGTAGTTTAATTAATCTTAATAAAGCAAAAAGATAACTTCACAAGAGACCAAAAACCAAAAAGAGAAAGGGTTTAACCTGGCATAGTAGTTTATCGAAATACAAGTCTAAGAGCTGGGTCCCTAAAGAACCTAAAGAAGAGCCTGAAGAGCAGAAAAGCTTGATTGCGCCTGCAAAAGCTGAGGGGAGGGAGAAAAAGAGCAAAAAAGATACGATACAAAGAATAACCGGAAAGATTTGTTAAGATAAGGATTAAGATTTAAAAGAAAAACCTTGGATCTTAATATTAAAACGTTAAAATTGTGAGAAAAAAGGTCGCGAGAAAGAAGATTCTAAGGTGGGAGGAGGGCCAAGAGTGTAATGTTTCCTACCAGCCATCCAGCCCCATGGAAACCAACTGTGGAAGGAACAGGATAGGGTGGTTTACACTCAGAATGAGTTTGTCTTGCAGAACAACCGACAAGTTCATGTTAGTCCTCTCCCACACCCTCCTACTTGGTCCTCTTGTTAATCATTGTCCCATTCTCAGCGCCCTCTTAAATCCTAGTGAACACTTCAATTCTCTGATCTAAAATAACGAGCCATTTCTTTTGAAGGGACGGAGAGATTAAGGAGGCAATGTTGATTATTAATCACATTTATCAACTCTCCATGTATTTTAGCTCTGAAAGGAAATAAAGCTACGCTCTAATTAGTATCAATGCAGAGGGAAGACTGGAGAGGGAGAGTGAGGATGTTTTGCTATCCTTAAAAATTCCTCCAAAAGCTGCTGCTTGAGAGACATGCATAGATAGATGGGTGAAAAGCGAAGATCGACCCGGACTAAAAGCCCCCAAGGGAGGCTTTTTCATATCATACACACACACACACACACGATAATCCCAAGTTATCAGAAGGTTTGCACTAATTCAGCGTGATTAAATTTAGAAGCGGTAACTTCATAGAGTAATTCCGAAGTATGCATAAAATATTGCAAAATAAGTTCAGTTAAGATGAGAATAAAAAGTTAAAAACCCAAAGGAGTAGATCCATCTCATTTCCTTGGCAAGGTTCACTGTAATAAAAGTAAAGTTCGTTATTAGTTGATTAAGGGGTCATATTAGGAGGGTGTGAGAGCATCAAAGGGACATACATGGGTGTTTGTGGATCCTGTGAGCAAACAGACAATGAGGTGTTACTGTTACTGTCGTTTCGGCCACATATTATTACTGTCACTATTACTGTCAGATTCTTCAGGTCTCAATTAGTGACATTGTGCGGCCGCATATAATCATGTGCATTATGCACTCCCCACTTCCTCCTTTCTCCTTCCCACAGTACCACAAACAAACAAACAAACAAAAACAAAAAGTATTTAGTAGCAGTTCAAAAGCTATTATTGTAGCGGTTCAAACCATTACGAATGATGCTAGTAGCAGTTTGGCAAATCGCTATTATATAAAAAGCAGCGAGATATATAGCAGCAGTTTTTTGAACCGCTACAATGCTAGTCAAAACACCACCGTCCTTACTTCTCTTCTAGTTCCCAACTGCCGACCCAGAGGTTCTAGCAATATCAAAAGCCATCTTACTACGTGCACCAAATACCTGCATTCGTGTGGTGCCAAAACTCATTCCACGAACTTGACCAAGATAATTTAAAAGGTTGTATAAGTAGCCTGAAGCAAAACATAAAGGTTTGGCTCTACTAATGCCTAAGACTCCTGGATCTCATGTTGTGTCTCCCATATCTTATCTTGTAAATTTAAAGTTTAAATTAATTTAAATTAAATTATAAAAGTCAACGATATTAATTTATAAAATAAAATAAAATAAAATAATTAAATTAATGTATAAGTCAACAAAATTAAATTAGAATATTAAATTAAATTATATAAAATAATATTTTAATACTCACAATCATGCCTTGAAACTCTGCGGTATAGAAGGGTGCCTATCTTTATGTGTGTATCAACCTTTTTCCCGTCACCATAACTTCTTGCTCTTGTAATATTCAATTCAATCAGTTAGAATAATAAAATTAAAAATCAATTAAATTTGATTAAATTATATATTTACCATATCATCGTAGTGATAGCAAATCCCTTTGATCCACCAATATAGTGGATTGTTTGCTGACTCATATTGTTCCTAACCATTCTGGAGACTTCTTGTTATAAATAAAATATTTTTAAATTTAAATTAAAAATTAATAAACAAATTCAATTTACATTTAAATAAATTAAAACAATACATATTAATAAATAAAGTTAATTCCCTAATAAGCAGGAATTTAGCGCCACTTGACAAATTTACCCCAATCATTAGGATTCTCTTTAGGAGGGCCATTTTTTGCCACCTTCTCCATCGACTTTGTCTTGCCCCTGTTATACATCCAAAACAGGCTATTTTTGCTGTTCTTTCATCCATTTCCCATCTTTGAAAGTGTGTATGACTTTTCGGTCATCAATCACTACAAATTTTTGTTGCATAAATAAATAACAAATAGTTAATATAATTATAACTTAATGAATACAATAAATAAATAGATAAAATTAAATAAATATAAATATGATTACAATTAACTAAATATAATTAATAAATAAATAATATTAATAAACTTAAACATAAATAAATATATATTAATGCAATTGACTAAAACTAAATAAAATATTAAAGAAATAAATACCTTCACAATTTATTCTCAAGTTTCCTCCTTTGCTTGCTGTCTAACCCTCTTTCAAGTGGGCAGATCAATGGGGAAACAAATTTCCAAGTCCTGTTGGGAAAATATTGTAGCGTTATCCTGACCAAGACACTGGCCAGCCAACTAGATTCCACAACATCAGCACAAGATGACTATTAGGCAGGGTCCAGAGGTCTCACTCTTGCAATGTCCTCTCATAGGCAATCCATTGGACTTTGAGAGTATTAAAATTAAGGAAAAAACTTATATATTTAATCTTATATATTAAAGTAGTTGTTTACAATTAAATCAAGATATGTGTATCTTTTATATATTATTTATTTTATAACAAATTATTGTTATTAATGTTATTAACATATTAAAACATATTAAAATTTATATGTCTTGACTTGATTAAATAAAAGGATATTATGCATACAAGTCTTGTCTTAAAATTAAATAATTAATAAATAAAATAAAATAACTAAATATAAACCAAAAAAATAAAATAACTAAATAAATTTATTGTATAATTACCTTGTATCATAACTCCATAGCCTTTCATTTGTGTGTTGGTCTAGCTACTGGTATCGTAGGACTCATATATCTCCTGATCTAGAAATTCCTCAATCATTTAAATAGTTGCTTCAAAGAACCCCTCCACCTCGAGATTTTAAGCACCAAAATCATCCCCAGCTCCCTCCTGTTGAGGCTACTCCTCAAGATCATTGTTGTTGAATATATTATCCAAGTTAAACATTGACGAGAGGAGGGAAAGCATTCTAAGTAAGATTTCCATTAATGCATTTTTCAAATAGTCATAATTTAATGGTGAACGGCTACCAAGATTACCATCTGTTATCCAAGGCAACTTGCTAGCGGTTTGCGTAAAAAACCACTACAAATATTATAGCGGTATCACCATCCAAATTGTTGCTAAGTTTCTGTGTCATTTGGCGCCTTTGTTTGTAAAGTTTTTGGAGAATTTTTACAATCTTAGCAGCGGTTTATGTCAGTTAAATCATTATTATTATCATTACTATGTTTCTCGCCAAAAGATAGGGATTAAACCTGCAATATTGTAGTGTTTGGTTCAAAACTGTTACAATCATCAGATTTTGTGGGAGTTTCATTAAACCGCTACTGTCAACTGCTGTTAATTATCAAATGATTTTTTTTTTTCTTTGGTAGCGCTACCTGAGGCTAACTCTTCTTTTCACCCTTCACTTATAATTATCCCTTGAACAACACGCGCACACACATTCTTGGGCATGTATATATTTGTGGGCAGCGTCTGTGTGTGTATTTATGATGTCAGATTGCCATGGGCAATGTTGCAAAACTTGACTTGTTCATAGTTTATTAACTTCTAAGACAAGGCACCACCCAGTATTTCCTTGAGATCATGTCTTTGATTATTTTAAAAATTATTTAAAATTTTAATTAGCATTGAAAAAAAAAAACATCAAGTCACCTGATGATAATAATCCAGCTAACTCTTACATGCAGCCCTCAAACATATGCACTTTGTTGCTGTCGAAGTCCTATATTACACTAATGTCTTACCATGTGCCAGACAAAATTTCTGGGGAACAAAACATTTTTGTGGCAGCCATAATATATATGTGGTATTAGTCGGTCTTTGTACGACAATAATACTGTTTTGTCCGCCAGAAAAACACCTAAAAAACACGTCGAATATCCCGGAGAGGGAACAGTCTTGATGCTTTTCACTTCATTTATATTGTACGTTAATACAATTGTTGTGTGCATAATTAAAAAAGAAAAATGATGATAAAATCTTTTTAAATTTTATAAATAATAATTTAAGTTTTTAAAATGTCATAATTTTATTAAAGTTTTTAAAAACTTTTTTATTATTAATAAATTTATATAAATGATTAAATTACCTTTGTTAAAAATAAAATAATCACAAGTTTTATTTAAATAATCACAACTTTTTTTTTATATTTGTAATAATCTAACAAAAAAACACAACTTTGCATGTCAAATTCCTAATATTGCTACTAGTGTTGAAAATAACAAGAAATAATTATAAATTTTATTTAAATAATCATAAGTTTGCTTTTTATAGTCGTGACAATACAATATCAAATCACAACTTCACATATCGAATTTTTGATATTACAATGACAGTAATTTAATTATTTATATAAATTTATTAATGACAAAATACGTTCTAGAGACTTTTATGAAATTATGAAATTTTAAAGAATAAAATTATTATTTGCATAATTCAAAGGATTTTACTATTATTTTTTTAGGTAAAAATTCTAGTTTTGTAAAAAAAAGTAATAATTAAAAAACATGAAATACTTAAAATGAGAGACAGGAAAGTGGTAATCGCAAGTACTTTATTTATTTCAAAATGTAAGGCATTTTTAATTAAATTTTATCCTTTCATAAAATAGTTACTTACCTTAAAATTAACCCTATTTTTTTATATCTACTTATTTAATGAAGTGTTTTATTTTAAAATAAATATAAAAATATATATTTAATATGAATGCTCTTAAAAGAAAGACAGTGATTAAATCTTAAACGATTTACAGTTTTAA